GTCCGCAGAGCTCAGGGTGACAACCCTGCTCTGATGGTTTGAGCGGATTGATACCCTTGTTAGCATATCAGTGTCTGAGATGGTGTTTTTTGCTGGTGACTTTTTTATTGGCTGTTGCCTGGTAGCATAGTGGCTAAGACACTTGCCTGCTAACCAGACGGCTGGCGGTTCAAACCCACCAGCCACTCCTCGGAAGGAAGGTTGGGCAATCCTACTTCCGTGGTGATACTGCCTCGGAAACCCAAGGAGGGGTCGCTATGAGTCGGGCTTGACTCGACAGCACCTAACAACAACAACAACAGCCCTGCAGCCCCCTTCCCAGCCCTAGTGGAATACAGACTCCACGTAGAAGAGGGCTCCCTGCCCCGGCCTCCTGCACCCATCTCTCGGGCAGGAGGGTTTACTGGGAAGCCTCACTTCCAGGGGCCCGGCAGTGCAGTCACGTGGCCCCCATGTGTTGTTCACCGTCAGCTTTATTGAGATGCATCTTACACACTCTACAGCGGCCATATGGCTTTGTAAAATGTGTAAAGAGAAGATAGTTTTTCTATCTTTTCTCAAAATGTTGTCCTCTCCTTTCTGTCCACCATGCTTTTGTATTGGCTTCAGGTCCCGCCCACGTGGACCCACCCCTCAGGCCCCACCCCGCAGGCCCATACACTTGGACTTATCCTTCAGGCCCTGCACACCTGGATCTGCCCAGCATCTGAAGCAGGGTCCAGCCCTCCACTGGCTTTAAAAAGATTCTTGTTGAATGAATGAATGAATGAACGAACGAACGAGTGGATGAATGAATTTTAAACCAAAGAAACCAAATTCACTGCCGTCAAGTTGGATCCGACTCATAGCGATCCCTGCTTGGGTTTCCGAGGTGGTATCTTTATGGAAGTAGATTGCCCAAACTTCCTTCCAAGGAGTGGTTGGTGGGTTTGAACCGCCAGCCTTCTGGTGAGCAGTCAAATGCCTTAGGCACTACACCACAGAAACCTGACATCTGAGTGTTTTTATAGCACTTACAGTAGTGTCTTTAATCATCGCCACAATTCACAGCCCCCTGTTTTATGTTTAAGAAGGACGAGAGAGGCCTGGCTGGAGGGTCTGGCTCCCACACTTCATCCTGTGGGAGACCCAGTGCCTTGTGCTTCTCGTTGGAACTGAAGCTTCCCAACTTCTCCTGGTTCATTTATTGACTTTCCTTGAAATAAGATAACTTTATTCTTTTTTAGGAATGCTTTGCCCATCCCGTTGGGTGCAGATCTTGTACATTTTGTCTTTTAGCTTCAAAGTCTCATGTTTTCTTAAAAAAATCGAATTGAGCCTTCCTCTGCCTGGGAGACAGGAGGGTGCGAACTTGCTCCCTGCTGAGATTCTGGGGGGAGTCTCATTTTTAACCTCCCCTTGACCTTGTCTTTGACATGTAAACAAATGTTCTCTTGGCTTCAGTGATAAGAGTTTCCAACTAGGGGGTCTTGCCCTTTTGTTTCTTGAGTTTGGAAGACTTCTTAGTACCAAGTGATAGATCAGGGGCCAATGAGCAAGTTGGAAGCAGAAGTTTGACCTGGAGGTTCCTGGGTCCCTGACAAGTCCCTCCAACTGCCCTAAGGGATGCTGATGAGAGTGGGAGGGGACCCGTGGGAGAGGTTTGGCCTGGCTTTCTAGAACTTCCTCCCACATTCCTCTACTCCTTGGCTCTTCTCCAAACTGCCCATGACTATTCCACCTTTCCCCTCTCTCAGCCCTTTCTGACCAGCACTCCTCAAACTTCTTTGAGACATAGTGAGAATTTCTTGGCCAAGTACATTCTGTAGTTTTGTGTATTAGATCCCTCTCTTGTGGAGCAGGGCTCATTCTGAAAACAAACTCCATTGCCGTTGAGTTGATTGCACTCTGTGGTGACTCCACGTGTGTCACAGTGGATCGGGGCTCCACAGAGTTCTCAGAGGCTGTTTTCGTGGAAGTAGATCACCAGGCCTTTCTTCTAACGTGCCTCTGTGTGGACTTGAACCAACAGCCTTTCAGTTAGCAGTTGAGTGTGTTTACTGGTTTGTACAGCCTAGGGACTCCATTAGTCTGTCAAAAATCCACTGTAGTCAAACCAATTCTGTCCGAAAGCAGCCCTGTAGGAGAGAGAAGAACTGCCTAATAGGATTTCCAAAGCTGTAATCTTTATGGGAGCAGATTGCAGGGTCCTTTCTGCCACACAGGAGCTCTGGGGGTGTAGTGCCTAAGGCATCTGACTGCTAACCAGAAGGCTGGTGGTTCAAGCCCACCAGCCACTCCTCAGAAGGAAAGTTGGGCAATCGACTTCCGTAGTGATAGCGCCTCAGAAACCCAAAGAGGGATCGCTACGAGTGGGGTCCGACTCAACAGCAGTGTGTTTGGTTTGTATTTTATGCCGTAGAGCAACTAGTGGGTTCACACTGCTGGCTTTTGCTTAGCAACTGAGCACTTAAGCACTGCAGCAGGAGGGCTGTTTATTGGCCTGTTGAAGGCCCTGGAAAGGCCTGCTGTGGGGAAGTCTGTGTGATTTTGTTTATCCCAGCTTTTCTCCATACACTCGAAGCTCAGAACCGTGCAGACAACAAGCAGCACGTTTTTGTAGAAGACGTTTTAGGAAACACTGCCTGGCTCTTTCTTGGCCAATGTATTTTGAGAAAACCTGGGCTTTTATCTCCAAAGGAAGCAAACTTTTCTGCTAGGGAGTTTAGATTGGATCCAGATCTTCAGCCAAAAGGAGGAGGCTTTAATGCAGGCCTAGTTACCACAGCCTTTTCCGGTAAGATAAGGATTGTTTGAGGGTGTGTGTGTGTGTGTGTGTGTGCAGAGTGGGGCGTGCTCTGCCTCTCTTGGCTAATTCTCAAACAACAAAGAAAAATAACATGATGTTGGATCTCCCAGCATTGATCCTGCTCCAGATGTTCTCGGCACTCCCCAACAGTTGAAAATGATCATAGGTACTTTCAATACATATAATGTTGACAAGCTTATGATGGTTGAATGCTCTCTACCATTTGTGTGTGCGAGCGTATGTCAAGTGTTTTGCAACTTTTCCACTGTAGTTTTCCTTGCAAACATTCGAGAGAGGTACTCCTACTACTCTTGTTTTGCTGGTGAGGAAACAGTTCAGAGAGGTTATATGCCTTGACAAACGTCACATAGTTAGTTGACGGTCTACCACTGATAGGAACTAAGTAGGTCTCCTTTTTGCTAATCCAATGCTGTTTTTATGGCATCCACAAAAGAAGCGTCTTTTGGGCAATGACACATTTTGTAAGCACAGAATTCTATGAATGGATTTTGACAATCATGCCTTCCCAGGATGATGAAAGTGAGCAGTGATTTGGGGTCTGCAGTGTTATGTTCCTCACAGGAATATTGCATATTGGGTTTAATGGCTTAAGAACTTCAAGGCAAGTGTTTTTTTTATATGATGCACTCTACTGAAGGAGAGAATCCTTTCATTGTTTCTCAATTTCCACGAACTCTTCTTTCTTAAACTGATCATAAAATAATTTATAGGTAAAAGAAAGGAGCTCTGGAGGTGTAGTGAGTAGGACAGTTGGCTGCAGTTTAAACCCACTACTGCTCCACAGAAGGAAGATGAGGCAGTCTAGTTCCACAAAGATTTACAGCCTTGGAAACCCAATGGAGATCAATATGAATCGGAATCAACTCGATGCAGTGGGTTTGGCTTGTTTTGGGGTTTTTCAGGTCACAGACTGTTGGGAGGGTAAAGAACGTTTTCTCTGCCTGCTCCCATCCTAACCACCCTCCTCCTCATGACTCCTGGGATTTCTTGTTGATTGAAAAGTGCTGATATTTCACTTCATCCCTCAAATTCATCTTCACTGACGGCCTGAATCTGAGAGCCTATTCCTGGGACCCGGGGATCTGATAACTTAAATACATCAAGGCAAAGACATTAGAGGAAAAACCACACCAGCTGCTCTTGAGTCGACTGTGCCCCGTAGTGTCCCGTGTGGTGTAGAGTAGAACTGCCCTCCATAGGTGTTTCATGGCATGCCCTTTAGAAAGCAGGGTGCCAGCCTTTTCTTCCAAGACATCTCTGGGTGGGTTTGAACCACAGCCTTTCAGTTAGCAGCCAAGGGCTTACCACTTTGCAGCACTCAGGCAGCTTTATTATTAGAGGATGCACGCATTCAAGAGGGGTCAGGTTGGATTGTGCAAAATACAAGGTGTCTGGTGCAGTGCTGATGCTGGTGTTTGGGTCACATCTTGGCTGAACTAACACCCCAGAGCCAAGCACCAAGGACCCAGAACCTCTCCCTTTACCCTCTATGCTTCTCCATGACTTTCTGGTAACCCAGCAGGCTTGGCTGACAACTTAGTGGCAGAGAGAAGGCTACATCTCTCCTGCAAAGATGCTGGAAAGACGGCCCCTTGGTTGTTATTATCACCTGATGTGATGAGCTCACGCCCGGGTTGTCATTATCACCTGATGTGATGAACTCTTTCTTTCATTTAGGTCAACTGATCTTTGAAAAATTTTGCTCCCAATGAAGAGGAACCATTCCAAGTCACCATGATGTAAACGACAAATTCTTCACGAGCTTCTACATGGATGGACACCAAGCCATTGGTCAATGGGAAGAAAATGATACCACCCAACCTTATGTGCGCTTGCATGTCCTCCTGTGAGAACTCGTTCACTTTCTTCTGTGCCATGGGAAAAACCTGACGGGTGGGCACAGTTGCTCCTGAACTTGCAGCTCTCCCCCTAGTCCAGTGGCTTTCTGGAGCATGACCACGGGGGATCCCATCCTTAGGTTGCCTTTCGGAGCCCAGCCAGAGGACGAGCTTCCTCATTCTCCAGTGCTTTGGCCTCTGCTTGTTTTTCGTTTGTTTCTGTTGTTTGTGCCATCTGATCCTCTTATGTAATCACAAGCTGTCCACAAAGTTTTCCAGCGCCATTGGTAGGCATCTGGACTTCTTGGGGGCTCTCCCATGGCCCGCTAAGCCCGCGGTCAGAGAACACTAACATGAGGCACTGCATTAACTGCTGTATACAGTTGTTAGCCCACGACACACACACACAGCAGGTTGGCTGCCGAGGTGGCCCTCCTCCCAGCCTGCAGGCGTGCTCCGCGTGCAGAGGAGAAAACAAGATTCTGTTCCACGTGGACAGTAAGCAGATGAACTTGCTTGCTGTTCTCGAAGTGAGGACAGAAGGGAATGAGAGCTGGGGCGGGTTTTTGCGCTTCAAGAAGGGGAAGCGATGTAGCCTTGTGTTTGTACTGGTGATCATGACCTTGGTGATGGCATCTTACATCCTTTCTGGGGTCCACCAAGAACTCCTGATCCCGTCACCTTTCCATTATGGAGGCTTCCCCGGTAACCCCGGCGTGATGGATGGTGAAGGTCCGGGTGACCTGAAAGAGCACCACCACCAGCCCTCTGCAAGTAATCTCTCGTACATGAAAGACTACCCAAGCATTAAGTTAATCATCAACAGCATCACGGCCAGGATCGAGTTCACCACCAGACAGCTCCCAGATCTGGAAGACCTCAAGAAACAGGAAGTGCATGTGAGTAGCTTTGTACTGAGCTCCATGTATTGATTTAGTTGTAAAGAATGGATGCCTCCCTTTTAATCATCATCTTTGGTAATGAAACAAAACAAAACAAACAAACACAAAAACATCCCAAAACAAGAACAAAACCAAACCTACCACTCTCCAGTTGATTCTGACACAGTAGAACTATCCCACAGGGTTTCCATGGCTATCAGTCTCTATGTAAGCAGACTGCCTCACCTTTCTCCCATGGAGCAGCTGGTAGGTTTGAACAACTGACCTTTTGGTTAGCAACCCAATGCTTTAACCACAGCCCACCAGAGCTCTTTGGCAATACAAGAGGTAAATGACCAAAACATTTCTCAAGTCTAACGAAGATAGTTGGATGGCCTTACACATCAGAGTGCATGGGGAGAGTGCTTTTTATGTTATGGGATACAAAGAAGGAGACTTGCTGGCCCACCTGGCACAGCTAGAAATACTCAAGGACCCCCTTCTCCTAACTCCATTCCAGGACTGTTTGCCCAAAGTCTGGTCCTGGCAGTCAGTGTGACTTCTGCAGAACTCATTGCTTGGAGTTTGAAAATTGGGTTCCATTTGATTGGCTCTTTCTAATCTGTCCTAAACTGTATCTTTGCCTCTAATGACCATTAAATATCCAAAAAGTAAAAAGATTCTAGCTGTTTAATTTAATTACGTGTGTGTATGTGTGTGTGTGTGTAAGATAAGTCATGGTGGATTTTTTCTTTTTTCATCGTAGTGAAAATGTGCATAAAACACACGGCGTCTCAACAATTTCGACAGGTGCCACTCAGTGACACCAATAACGTTCTTCAAGTGGGCAGCCTTTTTCACTACCTTTTCCCAAATCACCTGGTGAATGGATTCTGATGAAAGTTTGTCTTCCTTCTTCCCAAATTTTATTTTTATTTTGAGAAAAGGAAAGCATGGTGACTAGTTCTTCTTTCTTTAGCATTGAATCATTATCAAATGATATGTTGAATTTGAACATTGTAATAAATATTAGGACATGATCGTATTGTGATTAGAATGTTTGCTAATTTCCCACTGTTGGTCTCTCTTTCTCTTTTGATGCAGATGTTCTCAGTCATCCCCAGGAAGTTTCTCCCAAATAGTAAGAGCCCGTGCTGGTATGAGGAGTTCGCAGGCAGGAACACCACTGACCCTTACCTGACCAATTCCTACGTGCTTTACTCCAGAAGGTTCCGCTCCACCTTCGACACTCTGCGCAAGGCCTTCTGGGGCCACCTGTCTCACACCAACGGCAAGCATTTCCGTCTGCGCTGCCTGCCCCACTTCTACATCATCGGGCAGCCCAAGTGCGGCACCACTGACCTCTATGACCGCCTGAGGCTGCACCCTGAGGTGAAATTCTCCGCCATCAAGGAGCCACACTGGTGGACCCGGAAGCGGTTTGGTGAGTGAGGGCAGGCTCTGGTGGAAGTGAGGGAGGCCTGGTGGGCAGGGGGTGGGGGCTTTTACTGCTTCACAAAGCTTCCTGTCACTTCATTCATTCCACAGGTATTTGGAGGGCCATCCAGAGGGTAGGTGAGCCCACTGTGTACCAGGCACTGTGCTTGGCTTTGGGTTCAGTGCTCTGTGAGGGAGTAGGGCAGATGAGACCCAGAGATAAGATGGTGCCTGTGTAAGGGATTTAAAGACCCTACAGGTAAAGATCCCACGGGGGCTAGAACCTAGTTCCCCACCACCAGTGAGCATTTGTTGAGCACTAGCTGTGTGCAGGGCAGGGGGACGGGCACAGAAATCAGCAGCTCTTCCTGCTCCAGAGGATGCATGACACTAGCCATGCGTGGGAAGTGCCAGTGCTGGGTGAGTGGGCTGCGAGAAGAGAGTGATGGTCGCAGCTCGGTGCTTCTCTGGCCAGGGCCTCCACCCTGGAGGAGAAAGGACAGAAGGAAAGCACTTCAGCTTCCTCCTTCCCTCCCTCAGCCGAGAGACCGTGGGCACTGGCTCCCCCGTGGGCCTCAGCTTCTCTGACCTACCCAAGAAGGCCTTTCAGAGGACTCCGCTCCCAGCATCCCTGTCCCCTGGGTTCCCTCCCTGCAAGCCACCTCCAAGCACTTCAGATCATTGTTTCCTCTCCTTGACCTTTCCCTTCTGCCAGGAGACATTTGGTCACCCAGACTGAGAAGACAAACAGCCTCATGTCGGCCAGAAGCAGGCAGCCTGAGGGCGATTCCCAGGCAAAGGTCTCAGGTGGCTGATGAAGCATCTGAAAAGTTCCTTAGTGGAACATGTGTTCTGAACAGCCCGAAGGTGTCTGCGGGTGGTGTTTGATCTGTTTGACGTTCCTTCCGGAGGGAAGGAGGTGTGTGAACCGCTCTCTTGGCTCCACCACTGTCCGGCCAGGGCTGCAGTGTTGGGACACTCTCCTGCCTTAGAGGCCTCTCCTGTTTAAAAGTCTCCTCCCACCAGCGGGGAGGAGGGAGAGCAGGACTTGCCACTGAATCCAGTGCTCCAGTCACCTCTGTGCACTGGAACCTCTTGTCAGAGTCATGGGGTGCTTTCTATTATCCCTTAAACTTGGGTAGCTATGGCATGTCTTTAATAAGCTGGAAAGTAAAATTTACTCATTTTTAAGGCAAAATGTACATTTTGGCTCTTTGTAGCAGATTATCAGAATAACCAGTGAGTTCAACCCAAACCATCTGTCCAGAGGCTGGTCCATACTCCCCTTATTGTTTGGACAAGTGGGCAGCTGTTTGTGGAATAGATTGGACACAGCCTCAGGAAGATGCAAGTTGGGCCCCGAGGAAAAAGCAGGATCCTGAGCCCCAGAACATGCTGCTTCCACCCCTGTTCTTGTTGCTGCGACCTACATCCCAGGTGGCCCTATAGCTTGGCCACTTGAGGGTCTTACTCTGTGCACGTGTTGACCAGCCCCAAGTCACTGGACCTCTGATGGACATTTTTATGCAGTGGAACCTGTGAGAGCCAGAACTCAATGGGACTGTCCTGTTTTTCTGCTTTTGACAGGATACATGCCATCTTAGCACTTTTCTGTTACTTGTTTTAGTGGAAAATATTTGAATTTCCCTTCTCTGACAGGTTTCCATCTTATATAGGGTGTGACTTTCACAGGTTTTGCTGTAGTTCTTGAATAGGTATGCCATCCTTTAAACTGCCCCTACCCAGTAAGGACCTTGAGTGGTGCAAGCAGTCTGCTCTGGTAACCGAAAGGTTGGTGGTCCAAACCCAGCCAGTGGCACCACAAGAGAAAAGGTTGGTGACGTGCTTGCATGAATATGACAGGCAAGATAACCCCACTGGGCATCTACTCTGTAACGTATCGGGTTGCCGTGAGCTGGAATCCATTTGATGGCACACGTGTACAACAGCATCCCAGTGACAGGCAAGAAAACCCCACTGGGCATCTACTCTGTAATGCATCGGGTTGCCACGAGTTGGAATCCATTTGATGGCACAAGTGTACAACAACATCCCAGTGTAATGGTGACATCTTCTACCCCTTGAACCACTCATTGATTAAAGAAGGTGCCAATTCACAGACACACCCCCTCCCCAGCTCATCTGTCCTGAGCCTTCCGCTGCAGCCTCCGAGCCCCTGGGACTTCGAAGCCTTCTCTGGCCACTTCAGGAGGCCAGGACCTGAGTGGTGGAGCCCGGTCCTTAGTAACTCCTGCTTCTTGGTTGTCCTAGGAATCGTCCGCCTGCGGGATGGACTCCGGGACCGCTACCCGGTGGAAGACTACCTGGATCTCTTTGACTTGGCTGCGCACCAGATTCACCGAGGCCTGCAGGCCAGCTCTGCACGGGAGCAGAGTGAGATGAACAGAATCATTATCGGTACGGCTTCTGGGTAGCTCCCCCCAGGGTGGGACAGCCTTCCTGGGGGCCCCACTCCTGTGCTGGGCCAGGCCCAGCTTCCCTTCACCTGTACAACATTTGTAGGACGGTGGCAGACATCTGTCGAGCACTCGAGTCCCCACCTGGCTGTCAGTCTTACCCCTGCTACAATCTCTTTACAGCAGAAATGCTGAGTAGATTTTCTGACTCCCTGGACACTCAGGCCCAGCTGACTGGGATGGTTGCCATTTCGGTACTCCTGTTTTTGTGTAAATTAAGCACTCAGGCTTGACTTTTCACAATCTAGTGATCTGAGTCAGCTTGGATGGGGGACCATAAATGCAATTAA